ACGGCACACTCACTGAACACACTGCACATAGTGAACACGGCACACTCACTGAACACACTGCACAGAGTGAACACGGCACACTCACTGAACACACTGCACAGAGTGAACACGGCACACTCACTGGACACAAATCATACAGCAGCTTGATCCCTTCCAGGGTTTATGAGTTGCAGGCTCCTGCACTGTAGTGTGATGATGAAGCACATGAGCAAATATATTTCACATCAGCGAGCCGCTCGAACCCGCAGCGCGGAGACGGACTCACCGGAGTCGGCGCCCAGGCTGCCCGAGGAGGGGTAGGGGCTGCGGGCGGAGGAGTGCAGGGGGTAGGTGCTGCGGGGCAGGCTGGGGGGGCCCGGGTACAGGCTGGCGGACAGAGGGGGCGCGTGGCCGTGGCTGTGGGCGGCGCCCTCCTTGCTGCCCCTCGGCCGTCCCGGGCCGTGCTTGCTCTTCCTGCTGCCGCGGTGCTTCTTCTCCTTCAGCGGGGGGGGCGGCGGCGTGGGGGGCGCCTCCGCCGACAGCTGCCCCTCCAGGGCGGGGGCGCCGGGCTGGTGCTTGTGGCCGGAGCTGCTGACCGGGTTGGCCAGCTTGTACTCCCCCGGGGACACGCGGCGCAGCTTGGCCGGGCCCCCCGTGGAGGTGATGCGCATGATGGAGCCGAAGGTGGAGATGGTGACCTTGGGCTCGAAGGAGCTGCCCCCCGAGTCCCCCCCACCCCGCTGGCTGTCGTAGGCCGGCGAGCTGCGGCTGGTGGTCTCGGCCGGCGTCAGGGCGGGGGGCAGGCCCGGGGGGTACTTCTCCTCCTCTTCCTCCTCCTCTTCCTCCTCCTCCTCTTCCTCCCTCTCCTCCCGCCCCTCCGCGCCCTCGCCGCCTCGCTCCCGCTCCAGCCTCGCGGAGGACGAGGAGAAGTGCAGGAAGTCCTGCGAGGACGGGAGGGATCCACCGCCTGCGGAGACACGGACACTGAGCACGGCGAGCGGGCGGGGGGCGGCAGAGCCCAGACAGCCCACTACAGCCGAACCCGCTCGCCGGCCGTGGAGCAGGATGCCTTTATCACTGGGGCGGAGGGTGTCGTGGGGATGATTCTGCACTCCAGACGTCTTTCCAGACAGGAGTCTGGGGGACGTAAATGTGACCTTGTCCTCTGGCGGACTGCAGGACTGAAAGCTGCTCTGGGAGGAGGGGCCGGTCGCCTGTGACCGAAGAGGCGAAACGCTCGGCCGCTGAGCAGAGATACCGTTGGGAGAAAAAAGCGGGTCAGGCCGCATTTTGGAAATCAGACACTGTTTTGTGTTTTTAACTGGGAGGCAGAAGCGGCAGGGCGGGTTTCAACGGACATCAAGTGCTGACAAATAAGCTCTGAAAATGCAGGAGACTTTCTGGGGGGGTAGGAGGAGGAGGGCTCGGCTGGGGTCGGCAGTTGGAGGGGCGCAGCAGGGGGTCAGAGGGGCTCTGTGAGGCTCAGAGGAGCTCGGCGGGGGTCGGCGGGGCTGCATACTGGTGGTGGTGGAGGGGATCCCCATTACCTGTAAAGCGCTTTGAGTGGAGTGTCCAGAAAAGCGCTATATAAGTGTAAGCAATTGTTGTTATTATTATTATTACCTGTGTTGAATGGGCTGGAGGAGCAGGAGGAGGAGCAGCTCTTGCCTGCACTCCCCTGCTTCTTCCCTCGGTGCCCCATGCCGTGACCCAGGAGCTTCTTGCCCTTGACCTCTGACCTGCTGACCTCACTGCCCTCCTTGCTGCTCCCATGGTGGCTGGAGGAGACCTGTGAAGACACAGAAAGGTCAAGGGACACAAAGCTTTTGCGGATAAGTCCCGCAGACACTCAATTATATTGATCAAACTTTTAAAAAAGAAAAACAGCTGCCTACTGTGACAAAAAAAATGCTTTTCGTTACTATTACTTTGTTTTAACTTAAAGGAAATCACACGGTGTTACATACATTATTTAGAAGTTTGGGTCTCTATCACCTTCCTCCCCCAACCCTCTGAAGTCAACTGAAAAAAACTTGAGACTTCTAAGTATAAACCGCAAGATAAACCACATGAGATTAGACAAAATTATTCATTAACTTACTAAGTGTGATAAATACTGCTTGTTTACATGCAATGATTTATCAGTGGTCTATTTTAAGATCACTTCTCCTGATAGTGGATGCTAGAGAAAAAGAATCAAGTAAAGCAGGAAAAATGTGTTGAAAACAGCATGTTTTCATGCAATAAACATAAATCTGCTTCTGTACAGCTTGGAGAAGGGAGAGCGCATCTTTCAGAGCAGATCCTGGCAAGGAACTCCACAGTCAGATATCAGCAGGATATGGGGCACGTGTCACCTGACCTCTGGCCTCTGACCTCTTTCACTTCAGCCCCTCCCCCAGCGCACTTTGGCCGTGTGCTGGGAGAGAGCGCAGGGCTGTGGGAGCACAGCGCCGCTCAGGTAGGAAACATCAGGCAGCTCTGCACATCTGGACATGCAGGAGAGGTAATAGGCTCCAGATGTGCACAGCTGTGTCTACTCTTTCACATCTCCCCCTTGGCCAGGGGGCAGGAGGGCAGATAGGGGCACAAGAGTGGGCTGATTTACTGCAGCTGAGGGGGCTGAAGGAGCAGGGGTGTCTGTAGATAGATCAGGAATGATGTAAAATCAGGAATTCCTATTTATTTTAAACTCTTTCAGGGGCAGGGTGGCTGTGTGCTGACAGTGTTACTTGACGTTCTACATGTTCCTGACAGGCAGGAGCAACATCGAAACAGAACTTGCCATGACATCACTTAAATCAATTTGCATGGGAGCTGAAAAAACACAGCAGAGTGGCTGTGGCTGCAATGGTGTAGGAGGGGCTGCACTAGCAGCAGGGACAGAATGCTGACTCCTGGTTCGCAGGAACCCCACGCTACACCAGCACCAGGCTCTTCGACACTCAGCAACCAGGAAAGTCATGTGGGTCGTACTCTTCTGCCTCAGCATCTGCTTATGCAAAAGTATTCAAAACCTGGTATGAAGCCTGTGGTGCAGCTCCTGGCCAAACACAAGAGCCCATAGTGTGCAAACTGAAATGGCTCAAACCTGTTCGCTGGCAGCAGCGGTGCACGATTGGCAGCAGTTGTGCTGGTAGCATAGGTGATGCTGCTGGAGCAGCGGCAGTTAAACTCTGCAGCATTTCAGTGAAATCCTGTCTTACAATAGGTGCCGCCTGTGATGCCCGTGTAACGGTTCTTGGGGTTTCTGCCCTTGCCACTCCTGCCCTGCCAGTTCACCCCTCACTGGCTGGGCATGAACCCGGGTCTCTGGCGTCACATGACTGGGAACTTGCCGGGTGAGCTGAAGGAGACCTTCCTCAGCCCGGGCAGCTGAGATCCCCGTTATACGCAGGGGTGTGTTACACCTGCAGTGCCAAGCACTGAGATAGCAGCACACTGGTCATATGTGAAATATATTGCCAAAACATCTTTCTTGCTAACTGCTGCTGAAAAGCTGGTCAACACATTTGTCTTTTCCCATATTGACTACACACCTGAAGAAGGCTCCACGGCCAAAACGTTGTGTTTTCTTTCTTCTCTTTTCAGCATGGAATAAACCTATTACTTGTTCCTTTGCAGACTACGCATGCTGAAGCAGCTACCCACCTGAACTACTGTAACGCTCTACTCGCTGGGGTTTCTAAATCCACATTGAACAAACTCCAGTATGTCCAGAATTCGACAGCCAGAATCCTGACCAGGTCTAGTGCAAGTGATCACATTCATTACTTCTATCCTGGAGTCCCTGCACTGGCTTCCTCTCAGGTTTCGTGTTGACTTCAAAATCCTCATGCTCACCTATAAGGCTCTGTATGGCTCGGCACCTCAGTACCTGTCTGAGTTACTATCATCCCCATCGCGCACCCTCTGTGCCTCTAATACTGATCTCCTGTTTGTCCCCCTAGCCTCTCTCCACTCTATGAGTGACAGGGTCTTCTCCTGCTGCGCCCCAGACCATAGCAGCTTTATGTCAGCAGCTCTGTCACCCTGCATCTCTCGGCTGGCAGCCCACTGGAGCTCAGCAGGTGTGAGCCTCACCAGTACCTGCATGGGAGATTCCTGGGTAAGCTGAGTTTGCTGCTAGAAGAGGTCTTAGTGGGGCCAGTAGGGGGCGCTCGACCTGCAGTCTGTGTGGGTCCTAATGCCCCAGTATAGTGAGGGGAACACTATACCGTAAAAAGGGGCCATCCTTCGGGTGAGACGTAAAACTGAGTCCTGTGAGACTCTGTGTGGTCATTAAAAATCACAGGGTGTTTCTCAAAAAGAGAAGGGGTGTTACCCCAGTGTCCTGGCTAAATTTCCCCTTGGCCTTTACCCATCATGGCCTCCTAATAATCCCCCTCTATGAACTGGCCTCATCACTCTGTTCTCCTCCCCACTGAGAGCTGGTGTGTGGGGAGCGTAGTGCACTTTAGCTGCCGTTGCATCGTACAGGTAATAGTAGTAGTGACAACTTTAGAAACTCCCTCCCAAAGGATATCAGAGAGTCTCCTTTCCGGAGCTGTTTCAAATCTGCACTCAAAACCTTTTTTAGATGGGCTTTTACTAAAAGGTCCTCTGTGCCCCTGTGCTCCTACTATATTCCGTTTTTGGTGTACTGTAAAACACTCTGAGGTGCTATACAAAATAGTTTATTATTATGATAGTGGTGTCACACAGAGAGGAGACACAGGGCCTCCTCCCTCCTCCCCTCAGCCACCACACACAGCAGCAGCTGGAGATAAAGACCAATCCAGACACCCCGGGCCGGCGGGCTGGCCAATAAAAACCTGTAACCCGTAACCTGGGAAACAAGCAAAAGCTGCTGGAGGATCAGGGCTGGGGGTGGGGGGGGGCAGCTGTTTTCACATGACTTTGTGTTTCCCTGGGAGACGGTGGGTGGAATGAGGGAGGGGCTTGTTGCTGCTGCCGTGGCGACCCCCAGGGCCTATTGTCCCAGAGTACCGAGGCCACCCTCTGCTGCCCTCTCTCCCTCTTGCTCTGATGGGCACTGCAGACCCCCCCTGGCGCCGCCTGCCCCTGCCCCCATTCTCGCAGGGAGCACAGCAACAGATGTGAGCAGCTGCCGGGGCCTCCTGTCCTATTATGTTCCAGGACTGATCAAGAATGGGCAGCTGCTTCGGTGTCGTTTCTGAACAGCACCCCTGCCAGCCCCATTCATGGCTCTGCTGGAGAAGCCTTGAATCCAGAAGGCTGCTGCGCGGACGATTAAACTATCACGAGCCCGGCTCATGGGGGCCGAAAGTCTGCCCTGTCGGAGGAGACCTCCTCCCCTCCTGGTCTCCTCAGGGATCCCAGACCGCAGTGCTGGCCAGCGGCCAGAGCCCTTTGGTCAGTCAGCAGCCCAGCTGTAGCAGGTCGGCACTGAGGCGAGGACCAGCCAGCTGCTGGGGTAACGAGGAGGTGCCGTCTACCTCAGCACAGCAAAGATAAACCAAAACACCTCCACACCCCAGCGTTTCCTTAATAAACAGCTGCGGCGCTGTGCAGTGCCGACGATCAGCAGGGCTGTGGTTTACATGCGCAGATGTGTACCTGTCTGTTATCTCTCCTCGGAGTGAAAAGGGGAACAAAGCACACCCCCAGCGATATTCATGCACGCCCACACACTGTCTTGCACAATCACTGCTACACACATGCACACACACAAAACATCTCTCTCATGCAAGAGAGATGGGACTCCCACTGTGCGGCTGCTCGAGCTCCTCTCCAGGATAAATTAACTGCTCAATCCTGTAATGTGCCAGAGCACCTCAGCTACCTCTTACAAAGAAGCAGAGGTACCACTGGAAATAAGCACAGTGTAAGAAATCCACCTATCTATCCGTTTCATTCTACTCATCCTGGGGAGGATCAGAGCAGTTCAAGAAATAATATTTTTCTCCAGAATTTGCAAATCACCTATAACAAACCTGCCAGTAACAAAATATTTCTGCAGGAGAGGGCAAAACTAACTTCTGCAAGAGAACACACACTTCAGAAGCTTACATTTCTCAATGTCTACCAAGAAAACACTGACTGGTGTGTAAAGTGATTCCTTTCATCAGAAAGATTCTTATTCCTGTCACAAATCTGGAAGCACCAGATGTTAGTCCTTCACAAGCACCAGAACCCAGGGAGAACATGTAAACTGCACACAGGGGGTGGCCTCACTCTGTAACTCAAGAC